TAAACCCTAAACCCTAAACTTAAAGCACCTAGTCCTAGAGGACCTGAAGTTCAATCAGATGGAATCTTTTGAGTCTGCCCTTAACGGCATCTTGGCAACGGTGGTTAGGCCGTAGGGTTCAGGGCTTTGGGTTTAGGGTTTAGGGTTTAGGGTTTAGGGGGAGGGCCTAGGGTGCTCTCGGAATTCGGGTTTTCGGGTTGAGGCTACGGGGGTTGCAGGGCTTCTAGGGCTCCGAGGCTTTGTTGAGTTGCTCGGGGTTTCGGTGGTGAGCTAGGGTTTCCAGCTCTTATGGTCCGGATCATAATCGTCTTGCGCTAAGAAACACAGTGCAGTAGTGCTTAGAAGCCTGGGAAATTGCCACTACTGGTCCTAAGCATTCCTATTGCCAGTAGAGTATACTATACCCCAAACCCCCAGTCTCTTTATTGAGGCTCCAATATAACTAAACATACTGCGCAGGTCTTCATGCGAGGCGTTCTGTGTTTTTGGTCTGTGAGCTGCGCTACTCTCAGAGTCGGAATACTTAACATAGGGCTTCTTTGTTGTACTGTAGGACAGAACAATAGCTAGCATACCAAAGCATAGTATACCTATAGTTCTATAGTATACTAAAAGTATAGTATGCTTCTAGTATACTTTGGTATGCTACACCCCAAACCCTAAACCCTAAACCCTTGGTATACTACACCCCAAAAGCCCTATTCTAAGGCCCCCCTGCCTTGGTTTGAAGTCTGAGGCTTGCGGGGCTGAGTAGGCTCTGGTAAATCCAAATCCCTATACGGTTTAGGGTTTAGGGTTTAGGGTTTAGGGCCTAAGCCCTAAACCCTAAACCCAACCCAAAATCAGGGTTTAGGGTTTAGGTCTAAACCCTAAGAACCCAACCTAAGATCAGAGTTTAGGGCTTAGGATCTATCGTTTAGAAGCCGACAACTGATGGACCAAATCCTGCGTTGCCTTAAGTACCCTAACATTTCGGGATTATGGGTTTATAGGGTACGGGGTTCGGGGTTTAGGGTTTAGAGTTCAAGGTTTAGGGTTCCGGGTGTAGGGTTTAGGGTTCAGGGTTTATCAGCTATGGGCCTTGTTGCAAATCGCTTCTTCATGGATAGCGCGGGGATGCTTTTCCTTCAACAGTGCTACTCAGGTGCAGCACTTCAGCTGGGCTGGCTTGCGTCGCAGGCGCTCTCCGTCTCCTTTGTTTCAGAAGGGCTTTGGGTTTAGGGGTTTAGGGGTTTAGGGTTTAGGGTTCAGGGTTTAGGGCTTTAGGGGTTCAGGGTTTAGGGTTTAGGGGTTCAGGGTTTATAGGGCTTCGTCAAGATAGAGTCAAAGCTTACGGATAGTTAAAGCCTACGGTCAGGATTCTGGCTTGTCGTGGGCCCCTGCTCTTTGTAGCCCTAAACCCTCAGAGGATACCTAAGCAGGAAGCGATCCCAGTCATGCTGTAGGGTACGGTATGGACTATAGACTGTAGAACTCAGTTGGCCATATTGCCGTAGACCTGGGCAACAGACGCACATGGACAGCTGGAAACTACGATATTGGGAGCTAGGATTAGGGGGACCCTTGGGGATATAGACCCTCTCAATAAGGCCCCTTTTAAGAGAGCCAAAAGTAGGGTTCAGAAGGGGTACCCTTGAAGGGGTACCCCTAATAATACTACCTAAATATTCAAGCCCTTCGAATCATGAAGGCCCCTGTTGTGTTGCCTTCCGGCCTCGCCATGTATAATGTGTCTGGGAGCTTACAAGAGTAGAGGATGCCTCTCACCTGAGCCCCTAAAGAAGGGACTACTAGTTCTTCGAACCCCCGGACAGAAGCACTAAGCCCTAACCCCTAAACCCCAAAACACTCTGAAACTCAACGGAAACCGGAACCCTAGGTCCCCTAGTCCCTAGGTCCTAGGTAGTATTCGGGAGACCCCTTAGAGGGCACCCTTCTTGACCCTACTTTATGGCTCTCTCAAAGGGGACGAGAGGGTCTATATCCCCAAGGGTCCCCCTAATCCTAACTCCTACTAGTTGCATACGGCTCAGTGTTCTTAGCCTGGACCGTCTCTTGTAGTTCTTGCTGTCGATTACCTTGCCCCCTCTGCAGCATACTAACCACAAGGTGGCTTAGCCAGACAATGCTTTAAGTTCAGAAACACCATACAGCGGACTCCTGACAAGGAGCAGGAGGTGCTTGTCCAGAGCGAAGAGGACAAGGTCATGGTGTACAAGCGGGGCAGTGCATGCCCCAGACCGTCACAATCGTCAGAAAATTGACTCCGAGAGGTATAGGAATCAATAGGATTCCTAGACCCCTAAATACCGGTTATTCAGGGGCCATATGCCGTGTTGTTTTTTAACGGTATGCACAGCGAGGGTCCTGGTTCTCTCCATTTTGCTTTCGAGACTTCTCCTACTTATTCTCTTCACTTGTGTAGAACACCCTCGCACCCCTATGCTTGCTTCTAGATGCTGTTCGTGAGGTTCTCGATTTTGGAAACATCAATCTCAAGACATCTACTTGCGCGCAGCCAGTGTGGCTCCGACCAGGAATCCGCCTCCTGGAAGCCCAGGAGTGCGATTCTCGTTGTCGACCAGCGATCCGATCAAGAACGTTGCAGTGGCCCTCGGAGTGCAATGGACCAGCGCAGACTCCAGTCCCAGAGACAGAGGTTGCCATGCTGCCATATGCGAGAGAATTCCTGGTCTTTCGACCCCTCGCTTCGTCCTTAGGACCCCTTAGTAGTACCGTTTTACCCATTTGTTTACTGGGGTTGACGTGCTTAAACTGAAACTAGGCAAAGGGTAATTGCCCTCGTTTTGAATGGGGTACTGGGACACCAAGGCCAAGCATTCCTTGCAAAGTTGGACTCCTTTCCCATCAACCAAGAGGCAATGTTTGAGCTGCAGCGACATGGCTTCACTCAAACAAGAAGCCTGGTGCCTGACGGGATGTTTCACGATCGCTTCCCACAAGGAGCTCAAGTAAATCGCTATGAATCCACGGTGGCTTATGTCTATACCCAGGGCTCTACCTTCGCCTTCAAAGCGAACAAGTTGTGCTTTGAGGAAAATTGGGGTGAGCTGTTTAAGCAGTATGGCCACATCATGAGGTGCTTGTGGATGTACGTGGAGAAGATGCAAGCCCGATATGGATGTTCGCAGACGCTGTATCGTGGCATGCAGGGGTTGTGGGACGACTTTCAATGTGAATACCAAGTCGGAAGCTGTCTTGAATGGCGATCATTCACGAGCACTTCGACAAACAAGAATATTGCTTTGGACTTCGCTCTTGGCAAGTACAGTGGAGGGAATCAGTTTCCGAAGCGCCCAGTCCTCTTCGTCATTCAAACAAAATCGCGTGGCGCTCCTCTGTGCTCTTGGTCGAAGTATCCTGACGAAGATGAAGTTTTGCTATTGCCTTTCCAGCGGTTTGTTGTGGAAGACATTTCTGTGCAGCATGGAATCCTCATCATACAGCTCCAAACAGTTGCTCCTCCTCAACAGCAGAGGGCTTATCAGGTCATAGGCAACCGTGGCCTGGCATACCGGTTCTCCCGCGACCTGAACGACAGAGACGATGAACCATCTGGACCGCGCTTTGGAAATGTTTTCACTGGAAGGAGCGAGGGTCGAGATTGGGTTGTGACAACCATCCCCGGGCTAGGAGACAGGTTCCTGCCAATCTCCATCGATGACCAGGTCAAGCTCAGAGAGGTCCCGAAAACACGCGAGATTTCAGAGCTTTCGCAAATCCAGTCTATGACGCTTGGAGTGGTGGGGCGTGACGATCAAAGTGATACCTATGACGCATTACCCGCTTCTCCTTTGGAGGTGATAATGCGGGGGTGCTTCTTCTTCTTCTTGCTGATCGCGTGCCTGCGTGAAATGATGCAGCGGTGACGCACAGGGCACATTTTTGCCGACCGAAGGGAATCATCCAGTCGGAAGATTCTGGAGTTGCGGATAGTTAACACGCATTGTGCCTGCGTTGAACCCTTTTTGTATGGAGGGGCTTTACCTGGAAAGGAACCCTGCCTTCTGGAAAACCTCGGCCACTGTCAGCTTGAAGTTTGAGCGAGCGAGGAATTTAGGCGTCATTGTGTTTTTGTTTTGACTTCATGCAGTTTCAAGGTTTCAGCTAGTGGGTCTAAAGTGTCTAAAGCCTTCGGCCCGTTCAGAGTTAATGTGGGATCGATCCACGTCTAAATCAGACTAGGATCCTGCATCATATAGGTACCTGAATAGGTGCCCCTGAATGTAGGACATGTTCAGGTGGGTAGTTGCCGTTATTATGGGAGCCTTATAGAAGGTCTATATACCTTATAGAAGCCTTGTAGAAGCTTGATATACCCGAAACTCCCCACCTGTAGTTTCCTCTAACTGAATCTTAAAGTCCTTAAAGCATAAGACATCTTCATTCAGGAGCCTCCGAGGCCCGGGTCTGCGGCAGACACGATCCTTGTCGGGCTTCCAATGTTACAGCTTGAGGACTTTCCCTTCATGCACGTGCTTGTGTATGTATGTGTGTGTATATATATACACATATATGTATATACATATACGTATACGTATAAATCTGAGCTCTCTCTCTGTCTCTCTCTTTCCCAGCCGCGTGCATACATACATACATACATACATACATACATACATACATACATACGTACATACATACATACACACATACATACATACATACATACATACATACAAACATATATATATATATGTATATGTATGTATACACAAACATAATGTAGACTGCGAAATCGATGATAAGGCATTAATCGCATAAATTCTCAACTAGGGCTCCGCTCTGCTGTCGGCCGAGGTTGCCTGTTCGTGCTCAACTGGCACCCATGGCAGCAATACACCAACTTCGGCATAGAGGCACACAGCCGTGTCTTTGGAATTCAGGTAGGAAAGAAGCAAGGTACAACCCCTTTTGACTTCATAATTACACACCTCAACCAACAACCTTCAACCAATCCAGCAGTATGTGGCAGAGTTTCCGTGTCAATCCTCCGCAGCTAGAGATTGGATTTGGCCTCCGACAGGTTTTGTTGCCTCTATTCTGCCGGGAAATTATGAATCCGGTTTCTTTGTACCCCAAGCCCTATTCTTTAACTAAGGAATTAGGGCTTAGGGTATATAAGCCCTGCGCAAACAGCTGCCAGCTATGACAAACTCTCACTCATTCCTACCTGTTCTGTTGACGGCTTTTTGGGGGCATGAGATATGTGTTGCTTGTCTTCAACTTCATGATGGTGCACATTTACGAGCTCCTCCGTCGTCCTGTCAATATCTTCAGGATTGCAACGTGAGCCACAGCCGTTATAGACCCACAGACGCCCCGACGAAACTGACGTTTAAACTGGCTGTGAGTTGAGATGTTGTCGGCCGAGTCGGAAAGACGGACCCTGAGTCCAAACTGGAATAATTACCCGACATCTTTTCCAACCGGTGGCCCAAGGGGCTTCAGGTTCAGGATGTGGGGATTTGTGTGTCAAGGTGTTATCCGCTTAGTGTTTTGGCATGGGCGGGGTCTGTCAGGATACACGAAGCCTTGACGTACGTGCTGCACGACTTATGCTCGATTTCCGTTATTCTTGCAGGTGGCAGCTGTTGCAAAAGGCCACGGCCTCAGCAGCGGGATTTTGGCTATGCCAGAGTCGGGACTCTTCTGCTGCATTGATGCTTTGGCATTGATCTTGGTGGCAGGAGCTTGCTGCATAGAGCCGACGATCCGGGACCCCGAATGTCCAAGCATCGGCAAGCTTAACAGTAAAGCTTGCTGATATAGACCTCAAACGGCACACCGTAGGCTTTCAGGTTTACGTGAGCGCTGTCGGACGAGCTTGAAAATTTGAAGCCGGCTTCTCTCTTTCCGAAAAGGTCTCAATCCTTTCTATTAGCTTCATACAGTAGACACAGGCCACGTATTTATTCGGCTGTTTAGCTTAAACTGCGTCGGTCCGTCAAACCGAGCTGAAACCTCATCGATGCCCTGCGCAGCTGCCTTCGAACCTTTCCAAAGCCTTGCAGAGGCTCAAGAAACCCCTAAGCCCTACTTGGAGGTTCATGGGTAGCTATAAGTAGGGTTATAAGTAAGGTAACTATAATTATAACCTATATTAGGGGACTTATAACTCCACTTATAACTACCCATGAACCTCCAAGTAAGCCCTAGACTCTAGCCCCAGACCCTTGCAAACCCGACTCCTTCAGGTAGCAAGCTGAACCTTGCACTCAGCACCGACGAGGCAAGGGTTTGCCCTAAGGCGTGGGCGCTTTCTGTTTTGGGCCTTACGCTTAAGGCATGCCTAGGGTTTAGGGTTTAGGGATTAGGGTGGGGCTTTGTAGGAGGTTGACTTTGCAGTGCTTAGGTTCAAGGTTTGGGACCCAACTCTTCCTCTGCTTGTCTTTCCGTCACTCTCTCTCTCTCTCTGTGGAGTCCATAAGGGTCTATTGAGGGCTACACGACCTGTATATGAGTCTACAGCTATTGCATGCTATAATGTTTACAGTGCGTTCTGAGTACAAGGCATACTTGCAAGGTTGTTGGCAGCATGCATCCGGGGTGCTTGCGGCTTTACAGAGGTTTGTAGGGCTTCGGATGTTAAGTCTTGCGGTTTGTGGAGTCGAGGGGTCGAGTTGCAGACTGACCAGGGTGTAAGTTTAAGGATCAGCGCTTCGTGGCGAAGTTGCATGCAAGCTTTCAGCATGGCAGCTGTCACTTAGGTGTTGCGAATGAGTTTCCTTAGTTGCCCAATACCCAACCTTTAAACTTTTTGGGTTCTTATAGTTTAGTAGTAGTCTGAAAGTTTACCTTTTATTTCCCTGGCTTATTGGGGAAGTGAGTGTAGGGCAAGCGAAAAGATTGACTCCCTGGCCTGAACGCGAGACTGGAGACTCCTCCTATCACTTCGACTTCTTGGTTTCTGGGTTGAGGATTTCGATTCACGGAACAGGGCGCGGCAACGCTAAACCCTAGTAGGTTCTTATTATAAACCCGAATACGGGATTTATAGGGACCCTATAAAATAGTAGGTTTTGGGTTCTTAAGGACCCCAAACCTTATCACTGCCGCAATCGGCGCTGCAGCACTTCTGCCCTCCCAAAACCAGTATACACACTCGAACCCCTGAGCGGGGCTTGGGTCCAAGGTTCCTAAAGCACCTAAACTGTAGACTCTTATCCCGCAAACCTAAACCCTAAAGCTCCCAAACTCTCAAAGCTCAAACCCCAAAATTGCAACAGCCGCTCATGAAGGCACGATTTGGAGGAACTTGCCAGGATGCGGCTGCAGGCGCTGAGGGCGTGGGATTCCGGGTTTACAGCTGTGAGGCTTATGTTTAGGGTCTGGAGTTTGGGGTACGGGGACTTCGGGGTTTAGGGACTTGGGGAGCTTAGTCTTAGGGTCTATGTAGAGTTTGCGGTCACACACATGTGATGGAGGTCTGCACCCTGCAAGCCACAATACCGAAATTGTCACGTGTAGCGGCTTTTTTGGGTGGATGGCGCCGAAACGGGGTTTATGGAAGCGCCAAACCCTCCATGCCCTCATTGCGAGGTTCTTTAAGGTTGTTGAGCTTGCTCGGCCTTCCTCAGGGGATTGTGAAGATCTCATACCCATGGAGCACTTGTAGCCCTTTATCCCCTAAACCCCTAATGTGACGGCCCGTTTAATAACACGTGCTCGAATAATGCGTAATTTTTTTTGCTTATTCAAGCCGAGACCAAAAAATCGACCGGCTGAATTAATGCGTTTTTTTCGGAAGAGAGGGGGGGGGGGGGGCTTTTTTTGGGTGGGTTTCCTCTGGTCAATCTTAAGGCAGCCACGACCTAAACCCCCCACCCAGACCTTAAACCCTTAACCCTTCACCCCTCCTGAACTAGAACCCTCTCGACGCCCTAAAACCCTGACCCTGAAGCCCGAAACTCTCCCTTAACCCGGAGACCCCACCTACTTAGTTAACCCTAAAACCTTAATGAAAGCTTTGGCATCCTAAGCTTCTGGAGGCTTTCTCAGGAGTTCTAGGTGGGCTGAACCTATAATTAAGGCTTAATTACTTGATAATTAAGGGCTTAGGAGGGCTCAGGCTCGGGTTCTAATTAATTAGGTGGGATTAAGCCTTAGCTTTGGGTTTTGCGAGGACAGGAATCTTAGGCTTGTCGAGGCTTTCTAAGGGGATTAGGAGGCTTGAGGCTCAAAAAAACCCTAGCCTAATTAATGCCTTTTTTGGGGGGTCCTACGTAATTAACCCTAAAACCTTAATTAAAGCTTTGGCATCCTAAGCTTGTGGACGCTTTCTCAGGAGTTCCGAAACATACAGAACTTTAGTACTCAATTCATTAAGGCTAGAAACCTACTAAACCCTCCCAAACCCTTCTACTTAAGCCCCAAACCCCTCGGCCCCCTCAATTCCCTTCAAACTTAATCAAAGCCACCCAGATCCTGAGCCAGCCCACCCAGAGGCGCCCCCGGTTCCACACTATTCAAGCCAACATTTTTGGTCGGGGGGGGGGGGGGGGGGG